GAAGATGAAGATGAAGATGAAGATGAAGATGAAGATGAAGATGAAGACGAAGATGAAGAAGAAGAAGAATGATGAATATGAAGAAGAATGATAAAGATGAAGATAAAGATAAGTAGACTGTTATGATCGACCTGTAATTCTCGCAGGAGATTTTAACGTCAACTTTTCACTGGCCAAATCTGATGAACTGGCAAAATTTTTTAAAGAAAAATTTTCACTGGAAATGGTTAATGGTACAAATAATCCAATATTAATAATATTGATATAAAACATTTCATATCTTACTTTAGTTACCACAATAGTTAATATTGTAGATATGGATGTTTTCTCAGCCACAAATAATAATTAAATTTTGCAGTTGGATATAAAAAATAATACATGAAAGGTCGTTAAAAAAATGTTAAATATGATTTTGTATATTAGAAAATATGTACAACATGTGTATGTAAATCGCACATTTCTTTCTTTCTGGCATTTCCTCTATTAAGTTTCACTTCTTCCGCGCGTAGGGACTTCAAGCACTGAGTTTTGTTGTATGGAATTTTGTGTGCTTGAATGGCTTTCGAATCGAAAAATGGAAAATTCTAAGTGGCAACTAGGGAAAACCCGGAAGAACACGAAAAATTTGAATTCTTCTCGGCGAAATTGTGCATTTTTTTGCATGGTTTGATGATTTTTGACGATGTAAAGGTGGAAAATTCTTTGTGAAGCTTGGAAAATTTCGGATAATTGTGGAATTCATCGTGAGCATGAATCAATTGGGAACAATTTTCTCCTATGTTTCATTCGATTCGAATGGTTGTTACTTTTTTGGAAAGGTGTTTAGAAGGAGTGCAAAAAATTTTAATTTTTTCGATAGGGTCGAGCTACGCTAAAAAATGCATTTGGTAAGTAGGCAGCCTTTTGCCTAGATTAGCATATAGAATCCATTTTTTCCGTTACGTGGACCAGATACCGATCTATTCGAAAAAATCTTATTTATGGCTCAACTTGCTTAAAATTTGACATAGGATACTTTTTTCATATAGGTGGATCAGCGACTAATCTATTCTAAAAAATCTTAGTTATGGTCCGATGAAATTTGGTACGTAGGTAGCCTTTTTCCTGGGTTAATATATAGGATATTTTTTCTGATAGGTGGACCAGATACCGATCTATTCCAAAAAATCTTACTTATAGTCCGATTTGCTTTAAATTCGAGACCCGTATTATAGATGTGCGTAGAATATAATTGAGTCATTGTTTTACAGTTCCAAAGGTGTTTGAAGGCCCTGCAAACATGCGGGTATTGGCTATTTAACAATATTTATTACACAGGCCAACAAAAATGGAAAAAAATTGATGCAGTAAATGTTGACAATATTTTTGACAGATTTTTTT